TTTGGACTGTGTGATGAACTGACCGTATCCCTGTGAAGTCTGGTTGCAGACTACCTTTTGAGAGTGCAGTTATTAAAAATACTATTACGCTCATGAATGATACTTCTTCAGGGGAAGCCAACAGTTGTAGCCTAGGAACACGTATGTAAGGATACCCCAAAAGCTGTACTCCTCTGTCGGGGAAAGGGCCTCTTCCAGGAGCCAGAGCAGTTTTCAGTGAGATGCACATGGAAGGGTGACAGGGACCCAGCCAATATAGCCCGGATGACCCGAGTGCAGATATGTCTCACAGCCACATCGCCTTCACAATCTGTATAAAGGTCATGCAATATGTCTGTTGCATCTCTGGGTTTTCTGTTTTCAAACAGGTTCCATTACTGACATCCTTCTTAGTGGAGAATGTCTAGTCGGAACAGTATCTCCAAATAATGGTAAGTCAGACTTAAAAATAAGACCTTTTTTCTTTGTTTTAAATTGTGCAATAAAAGATGTGGACTATATGTATGCAGAGCTTGACTTTGGATGAAGATTACTGCATATGAATGCAGTGATTCAAACCCCGGCTAAGATGAACGTTAGTCCACGGTTCTAGCAGGGGAGAGTAGCTAGCTATAAGATAACAGTTGGGGAAGATTGACCTCCAATATCCAGAGCACAGACTTCTGAATGATGCACTGAGAAGAATCACAGGGACATCACTTAAAAGGGCAGTTCATTCAATATAGTCCTAATAGCCCAAGTGCCAATATTTGTTGTAGGCAGATCACCCTAAGCAGTTGGATAGGTTCTATTGCTTTATTCTAGGGAATGTCTGGGCTCTCCGTCAGGACTTTTTATGATGACAGTGATCCTGCAGAACTAAATAGAACCAGCTATGATCATCTTTGCTGTGGTGTTCACAGCTTCTTTTCATATCCGTGATGTGTTGTCTCTGAACACCGAGGCAATTTCCATCCACCCATTTGTTTTCCACCTCCTTCTATCAACCGTTAATAAACATTGTGTCCATGTTATCTTCTGTAGAAAGTCCTGTAGACAGAAATGTTTTGAGAAACACAAATCTAGAGAGACTTGTCAATACAGTGATAAAGTCGTTGAGTTAATTAGTCCTAGGAAGCTTACCACGCTCTGTCACCATGTCAGTTATGGAGTCTAATTTGTGGAATATTTATTCTATTGGTGAAATGAAGAAGACACTGTGGAGTGTGGATGGCCATATAGGCCAAACAGCCAAACATGCTGATTTGTGGCATTGTTTAACACTATCAGTGGTGTGTCTACAGAAGAACTGAGGTCCAGAAATTCACAATCAACATAGGTGGAAGATACAGTAAAAGTTTTAGCGTGGTTGTGCATGTTTTGAATAATCTGGAAACCTGCTTTGATTCCCGTGGTAAACCTGTGGTTGGCTCTACTCTCTCTACCTCCTTGTATGTTAGCAGATAGACAGGAACAAAGTCAGTTCAGAATGCTTGTAGCGTTAGTTAGAAAATATAGAGAAGTCAGTAAAAAGATGGGGGGCGGTAAAGATTACCCAAGCAGTCTAAGTGGCGTGATATCCGTTACTGAAAATCCCCTGGGTAGACTCCGCACGACTCTATGGATTATAGTACAGTTCATTTTTCATGTGGAATTACATTTTCAAAAATAGGTGCCAGAGTTTCACACAAGCAGGCAGTTGCACACCTAAGTGACCCTTACTGCAGGCCTAAAATGCATTGGGAAATGTGGCCCTTCCTACTAAGTCTTTTTCTTCCCAAATGATGTAGGTCCTTTTAACTATGCCAAATTTAGCTTCCCAACTATTGAAGGCAGTTCTGGGTAAGATGGACTAAACACCCCATTTGCAGATTGCCCCCCACTGTAGCTTCCCTCCTCTTTGTAACAGCTCTGGAAGGACTTGAATTTCACAGATTACCTTCCTGGAGGACTTTGTCATCTCACTCAGTCATAAATTGTAGACACGTGTCTCAGGGAAAAAACAGTTCTCTAGGTACCTTGCTGGGACGTTCCATTTTAATTTCATTGTAACACTAGTAGAATGTGTCAACTCCAGTGCTGGAAAGCTGAATCAGTTAACCTCGGACCAGTCTCCTTCACAGGCATCAGATGGCTCCAGCATAAAAACAGGACAAGACAATTTATTTTCTACACTTCAGAAATGCCCACCCATATGGATACTCCTGGCCTAGGTGGAAGAAGCTCTCTGAAACCATCTTGGGCAAATTACAGAAAAAACAGAAGAAAAGGAACTGGAACACCTGCAAAAAAGTATGAAAAACGACTTCCCATGGAAAAATAATAGAAAATAAGGAGGAAAGTAAGAATAATAAATAAATAAATAAATAAATATAAATAAAAGGAAGGATCCATCATTCTGCACTGGACACAAATCAGAGCACAGAAGACAGTGAAGAGGAGATAACTCAACCAAAATCTCAAACTGAGTCTCTTCAAATGTCTCTGAGAAGACAGTGGAAAGAGAGAGAGACAGGATGGACTCAGAATTGCAGGTTGCCATATGAGAATTAATGGACAAGGACAAAACCTTGACAATTCACAAAATACAGCTGAAGAATATGAAATTCCTGCAGGTTCCAGGAGAATCCTCTTGAACTCTCAGAAAAGAATTTACCAGAACTTGATCTTGAGTGTACAGGTAGAAGTTTGTGGAATAATGAAACAAATGGGGGCAAATGCATGCTCAACTTAAGCAACTTCCGTAATATTATCCAAGAAAAAACACTTGGTAATACCAGGTACAAGGAATCAATGCACATAGCCCTCCTGAGGAAAATTAGAGCTTCAAGGAAGTGACTTTGAGCAGGAGGCTGCAGCAAACCTGTCATTTAGAAGAGAAATGTAAGGATTTGAGACCTGTTGGTGGACACAGCTATGCTGAGGAAAAAGGGAATTCTGGAGCCCTGAAATAAGATGCGTATTGCAATGCTAATAAATGCCTGTTACTGAATGCTACACAGTTCTGTGCATTTATGTTAAAGAACAAGGTAAATACTGCTTCCTTTGTGACTCCTGATCCACATCTGCACTCTCCTTCCCCCACCAGGCATGGCCACTGTCTGTATTCTAGTGTGAATCACCTGGGAAAGGAGGGGCTTGTTTATACAGACCTAGTACGTGGCAAGCTGGGGTGTAAATCTACCATGCACTAGCCTGCTGTGCACTAACTGGCTGTCTGAACCTTGCTACTGTGCACTAAAAATTCCATATTGGACCTAAACCCCGTTGGTGGCCCAGACTCACCCTGCACTTCAGGCCTATGGGATCGGGGGAGAAATTCCCTGTAGCATGGGGAAAAGAAAGGGCTTTTTGTGAGAGTTTGGTTTTGATTTTTGAACAGTTGTGGCCATGTTGCAGTTAGAACAGAGGCACATGTGAGGCTACTCAGGAATTTGAAATAAGTGGGCAGAGGTACTTTCCCTGGGTACTGTTCCGGTAGATCTGGGGGAGGGACAGGGGACACAGAAAGAGAAGAAGGAGAAACACCACAAAAGGAGACAGAGAAGGCAGCAAGGAAGTGCCAGACACAGCCACCGAGGCACTGGTAGCATCACTCTGAGGAAAAGCTAAGGGCGTGTCTACGCTGCAATTGGGAGTGTGATTGCAGCACATGTAGCCAGGGCTTGAGTAACAATAGCAGTGAAGCCATGGCAGCCTGGCCAGCTGCATGGGCTAGCCCTGCCCGGCCAGGACCCCAGGTGCACACCTGAGTGGCTGCCATCTCCTCTCTGCTGTGGCTTCATTGCTATCATTCACGCCAGCAGCATCAAAGCAAGTTTGGTTGTCTACACCTGCTGCAATCACAGCTCCTGATTGCAGTGTAGACAAGCCCTAAGAGCTTTGGGGTCAAGTGCTGGCTAATAGAAGCTTGGAATTGTGAGCAAAGAAACTGTCTCCTGTTGTTTGCGTCCTCTTGTGTTCAAGGAAATAGGACTTTGTTTACATTCTTCCTAAATAACCAGGATTGCATCAAAGAAATAGCTGACTATCATCAATTTCTCCTTCTAATGGAAATAGCCTCAGGGCCTGTCATAAATATAAAGGGAAGGGGTAACAACCTTCCTGTATACAGTACTATAAAATCCCTCCTGGCCAGAGGCACAAAATCCTTTTACCTGTAAAGGGTTAAGAAGCTCAGGTAACCTAGCTGGCACCTGACCAAAAGGACCAATAAGGGGACAAGATACTTTCAAATCTGGGGGAGGAAGACTTTGTTTGTCTGTTCTGTGTCTGTCTGTTCCGGGTTCTTGCCGAAGACAGATCAAGAAAGCAAGCAATCCAACTCCATTAGAATTAGTAAGTACTAGCAAGGGAATGCGTTAGCTTACTTTTATGTTGGCTTGTGATTTTCTCTGTGCTGAGAGGGAGGTGTATTCCTGGTTTTCTTTTTGTAACTTTAAAGTTTTGCCCAGAGGGAAATCCTCTGTGTTTTGAATCTGATTGCCCTGTGAGATTATCTTCCATTCTAATTTTACAGAAGTGCTTCTTTTACCTTTTTTCTTTCTAATAAAGTTCTGTTTTTTAAAGAATCGGATTGGTTTTTTTAGTGTCCTAAAAAACCCCAAGGTTGGGCTGTGCTCATCTTGTTTATTCTCAAGCCTCCCTAGGACAGGGGGTGTAGGGCTTGGGGGGGATATTAGAGGGGAGTAGGAACTCCCAGTGGTCCTTTCCCTGAGTTTTGTCTAATCACTTGGTGGTGGCAGCGTTACCTAATCCACGGTACAAGGCAGAATTTGTGCCTTGGGGAGTTTTTAACCTAAGCTGGTAGAAATAAGCTTAGAGGGTCTTTCATACGGGTCCTGACAGGGCCCCAAAGTTTTGGCTAACTGCCCAGATCCAGAAGAGGTAACAATATGTTTTTTTTGTATTTCCACAGTTTATTACACAGTTCTGCCACCTCTCCCTTGGTTGTCAGCTTCACTAATGGCACGTGACTATTTATACAGCAGATTCCTGTCAGCCAGAATCTTTTAGGAACCCTCTAAAGAAAGTCGTCTCCAGTGATGCTATGCTCCACGTGCATGGGTGACGCATACAGTCCATGTCCACTCACTAGCCACCTGCAACAGAAAGAAATGGCTGTCAAGTGTATGATGCTAGCCCATAGCATATGCTTGGTGTAACTATAAAAGGATGGTGTCAAGTGCATAGGGGCACGGGACCCTTGGCTAAAGAGGAACTTTAGAGACAAAGGGGAAAATCCTTTTTAAATGATGTGGCCCAAATCTTCCCAGGCTGGATGCACTGAGGAGGGGTGGAACACCAGCAACTCACATTGACTTCAGTGAGACTTACAGGTGCCCAGCACTGCTCAGTGTTTAGCTCTCAGAGAGTAGTTCTTCTAGCCTGCAGCACGCTGTCTATCAAGCAACAGGGTTAGGAGTGTTCAACATGCTATGATCTCTCCTGGGCTGTGGTCCCGAGCTCAGATCCCACCGTGAGCAGAGCGGGATGAATGCCAATGCAAACAGATCCCGTCCATCCCTGTCCTCACTATGTTTCAGGGTGCAGCCTCTGCCTCTGGCACTTTGTTTACAAAGCATTTCCAGGCTGTAACGTCAGAGAAATGGCACCGAAACAAACGCGTGATTCAAATGAAAGCAACAACAGTGCCATGCGACAAACCCCTCAGCTACTGGGCCAAATTCCCTCCGTGGAGTCGCCCATTGCCATGACATGTCTGTGTCTTCAGATTCCTCCTCAAGGGCTGCTCAGACCGCGACACTCCCAAGGAGCTGGCTGGCTAATAATGGCCAGGTTGAGACGTCATTGGACGACTGTGCAAAAACTCAAAAGCCAGCCCCAGCAGACTGTGCTGCAATTGGCAATATCCAGTCAGGAGAAGCTCTGGGACAGCAGGGAGCGCACAGGGCAGAGGTGCACTGTGAAAGAAAGAGCTGAGCTGATTGGTTACCTTTGCTACAGGCTTGAGGAGTCTACAAACCCGGGGGCAGGCTGCGGAGGAGTCCATCGGTTACTACACTTGGAAAAAGAAAAAACAGTTAGAAACATGGGTGCATACCAAGGGCTCAGCTTTATTCCAGGAATAAATTCTTCTTCCTGGTCAGTAAATATTTGTCGTAGTGTCTAGTCTTGTTCCTAAACCTTTCACTGTTTCTCTGGTGTTTTAGGGACGTCACGCCTGAGGGCAATGATAACCCGAGCTAGATTACAGTGGATGCTCTCATTCAGCTGGGCGTTCTCGGGTTTTAAAGGGCTCCGTTGAGTTCTCATGGAGGCCCAGGAGCCACAGAACAACATCCCTGCTACTCGTTCCGAAAAGCAGTTGCCAACTGGAGCAGTTGGGATCTTCCAGCTGGTGTCCCCCAGGGATAGTATCCCAATCGCTGTTTCCACTGTTGTGTTTGTAGCTCTTGTGTGACACTCCCATTTGACCAGCAGTCAGTGAGGGTCAGTTACTCAGCAAGGCCAGCTCCGATCGCAGAGTCTCTCCCAGCACCACAGAACACTTAAACTCAGTTTGCAAAGCATATTAAAGAAAATAGGCTGGGCTGGCCCTGTGGGGTAGTCAGAAACCACCGGTAAGTCGGACCTCAGGGCGTCTGCTACTCTGGCCTCCCGTGAGCCCGCTTAGCCACCCCAAGGCGGCAGGAGGAAAGGGACTAGAACAGCTCCTGGCGTGGCAGCTTATTGACTTACGTGTGCATTGCAGGGAAGGTGCTAGTTGGGCCAGACATGTGATGCACAGCGGATGGGAATCCTCCAGTCTGTCCCATGAGGCTGGATGGCATCACAGGGGGCCACATGGAGTAGCCACCTGGGGCCAGCTGAGAAGGAATGGCCTGCACTCCTGGGGAAGGGTAATGGTGGTGATGATGCACTGTGGATGGCCTTGGTTTTTCTGCTTTCACAACAACTGGAGCAGCAAACTGGGGATCCTCAATTTAAGGGAAAAAGGGAAATTTGTTAAATTTGTACCCATATGGCAGGTGAGCACAATGGTCTGTTACTCACCAATGGAGTGCCAGCTTGGAGCACTCTTCATAAAGAGCATTCCCTTGTCCTGGGCCCACGGCCCAGCTACACTGACGACAGTGCGATAACAACTGCAGCATGGCATGGGTGACTGGGTCCCACCCAGACAGCCAGGGTCTGTCTGCCCTGCAATTAGACACCGGCGGCTGGCCCATGCCAGCTGACCTGGGTTAAGGAGCTTGGGCTACGGGGCTTTTTAACTGCACTGTAGACGTTCGGGCTCAGGCTGGAGTCCGGGTCTGGGACCTCCCCTTCTGCTTCTGCTCCAGCCCGAGCTCGAACATCTAAACCCAATTAAACAGCCCCATGAGTCGAGTCAGCTGCCATGGGCCAGCCGCGGGTGTCTAACTGCAGTGCAGACATACCGCACGCTCCGGCTCCACTCCCACTCCCCCACCTCGGGAACGGCCAGGGCAAAGCGACTGGCCTTGCCATGGGATGTAAAGAACAAGAGGGCGGCTCTGCTTGTTCCTTGGCTCTTAGGTGCAGGCTCCTGACCTTTTACTCTTCTCATTTCCTTTAGCCTGCCCCCCCGCCCCCCCGCCCCCAGGCTAGGGACAAGCAACGTCAGGCACCGCATTAAACAAGGCTCTGCCTTTCCATTCAATGCAGACGAGAATATTTACCCGGCATGTTAAAGCCACCAAAATTGGAGTGAGGAGAGTACAAAGAAGGGCAGACAGAGTGTGTGTGGGGCAGGTGGGGGCGCAGCCGGATGGGATCTCTCTGGCAGTGCTGGGACACTCGTAGTGCACTACTCCCCCTTTAAGACAGTGCTGCAGTGTCTACGAGCACCCTGATTTTCCTCATGTGTCCCCCTATGAGCACAGGCATTCCTGCCCTCCCCAGCCCTTGTCACACTGCACACTGCTCTGGGGTGTGGTGCAAATGCCACTCCATAACAAACCTGGCTGAGAGCAGGCACAGCGGAGAAGATTCATGCTTCCCCTAGTGCGATACTCTGCCAGTTGGCAGTGGCTGCTGCAGAGCTTGTCCTGAAACAGGAGAGCCGACAGCTGCTCTTAAACACTGGAGTACGTCTGATGTAGAGAAGTGGGCTGAACAGGTGCAGCAAATGCCAGCTCCGCCCCCCACCCACCGCAGCCGAAGGGTGTTGTGTTTCCTAGCAGACAGAGCCCTGTGAATGCGAGGGGGTTGGGCTGTGTAAGCCATCCGTTAGAGCTGGAAATAGCACCCAGCGAAGGTGTTACCAGCCGGGGGAGTGTTACAAGCTCAGATGTGTGCTGGTGATGGTCTTAACACAAGGGGGCCAGAGAGCATCACGCCTGAGTGAGGCCGGGAGCCAGAGCGCTTTCTGGTCTGTGCGCAGAGAGAAAAGAAAGGGCCCTGGCACGCGTGCAGGTGTGAAATGGGGAGGGAAGCCCAGGGCATCTCTCAGCACAGTGTGAGGCGTCCAGTGGAACTCCCAAATGAACTGCTTAGATTGGAAACCCCTCCGAGCAGGGGCTGGGGTAACATTTTCAAATGCACCTCAGTGACCTAGGTTCCTGTGTCACATTTCACATTTCAGGTGCATCTCACCTAAAGGATTTAGGTACCTAACTCCACCATTGAGTTCAATGGGAGTTTAGTGCCTTGATACCTTTAATAATCTGGGCCTTAGGCACTTAGAGCCAGATTTGTAAAGGGATTTAGGTGCCTAAAGATGCAGAGTGGCACCTAGTGGGATTTTCAGATGGGCCTAGGAGCCTAACTCCCATTGACTTTCAATGAGACTGAGGCTCCTAAGTCACTTAGGGCCAGAGTTTAAAGGTATGAAGGCACCTGACTCCTGTGGATTTCAGTGGGAGTTAGCCAAATCTTTATAAATCTGGCCCTTCGGTGCTTTTGGAAAATCTTCTCTGTCTCTACACATGTGGGTGTGCCCAGCCCCGAGCACACAGGGCCCTGATCCTGACTGCGGTCTCTAGGCACGACCACCACATCAGTGCTTCCGTTCCAGCCCATCGCAAAGTGCCACGTCAGACGTTACCAGTTACGGGTTCCAGCAAAATAAGCTTTCAGGAAATGGAAGGCCCATAGAACTATTCCCATTAATTGAAATGCAAGTGTCTGCCCCAGCCTGCGGCAGAATCCCAGGTTCTCAGTCACCAGGCAGCATGTGGGCATCTGGGAAGTGGGCTCTTCCCTGGATGACTGACTGTTTTCTTATGTGCAATTCAGCTACGCTCTTAGGGCTGGAGTGTACCCAGCCTGCAGGAGTGCAGAGGGAACCTGCACATTGCCAAACACAGTCTGGCCCCAGGCCTGGACGAGCCCAGCGCTGGGCAGAGAGGAGGCGAGGTCGTGGCAGAGCAGAGCTGGCCTGCTGTGGAGGGGGGAGCATACCCTGTATGCCCTATCCAGGGGTGGCGCAGCAGCTGAACTCCGTCACCCCAGGCAGAGCCAGGAGACGTGCGGGGGGAAGGGGGGACAGGTTCAGCTCCAGAAGACACCATCCAGCCTGAGCTCATCCCATAGATCAGCCATAGTGTGCAGTGCCCTACAACGTGCTTCCATGGGCAATGGGTTCTGAAGCCGCATTCAGGCCCAAATATTCAAAACGCGCTCCCCAACCCCCAGGCCCTGCACCGGCACGTGGAGATCGGCTCTCCGTCTCCTGCCCCAGCAACTGCTTGCTCGGGGAGCTCTTTGAAGGGGTGAATGTCATTACCTGCTGGGTGTGCTGCAGCAAGGGAGGCCCGGTCCCACCGGGCTGTGAGAACGCCATCGGTGGCAGAGCTTTCAGCATCATGTTCTGCATAATGATCTGGTGCATCTGAGCGTTCTGCATCAACATCATCTCCACCATGTCTGGGAACGGAAAAATCCCAAAGGGAAAGGAACAGCATTGCCAGTGAGAGACAGAGAGAAAGGGGCGTCTCAGTGGGTCAGATCCTTAGCAGAGCGCCCAGACAGCTCTGACTTAGGGAAGGCAGCTGAAAGGGGATCTTGAAAGGGCCTTTCACACTTGGAGGAGGAGAATGTTAGTAGACACCGCTATCTCCTTGGCCAGTGACTGCCCTTTATGGGCTGGATGAGAGCGTTCAGACTCTCAGCCCAGCTTAGTTTTTCCCTGTCTCTGCGAAGAAGCCCTCGCTACGTGTTTGTGACCCAAACTAAGGCAAGCCTCGCTGCTTTGAGCTTGTCCAGACTCTCAGACAGAGGCGGATTCAGAAGGGGCAGACCCTAGCTGACCAAAGAGGCTCATCACAAGTGTTTGCATAGAAACCAGTTCCTACGGCTTTACAGGCCAGAAAGTCCCACAAAGTTCCCGTTCAAACACCTGGTTTGCCTGTGGCTGAAACACGTCACCGACCCACATTCACAATTCAGTGTCACTGGATTCCTGCCCATTTGGACCATGAGAGCATTCCCAACAGGCAGGGTAACTGTGGGAGTGTAGCGAGGCGGCCTGGTTCCCCGCCGCCCCGGAGGGGGACGAGCCCCTCCGGATGCCAAAGTGGGCGGAGCCAGTGGAGCTTGCGCCCGCCCCCCAGAGGTCAGGGCGCAGGACAGGAAGTACAAAAGCCCAACCCCAGAGCTCACTAGAGGCCCAGCCGCCGGAGAAGCCAGACGCCTGTGGCCTAGCTCCCGGTGGGGAGACCCCTGCAGTTTGCCGCCGACCCGAGGACTGGCCAGACGCTGACCAGACCCCGGGGAAGCTGGTAAACCCGCCTGTGGCAAGTTACCCAGAGGAGCTACCAAACCTACTGCTCTCCGGGTACCCAGAGGAGCCCCTGGTGCTCGATTCCTTGGAAGACTCCGT